GTTGAAAGGTGTTGTGTGTTGATCTGTTAAACAAGGTTTTCTGAATAGTTGCAATGGTTTGGTGAGATCAGTAAATCCTGGGTTAAGGGTATTGGTTATTTTATTAGCCCAAAATTCAACGCACAAAACACCCCCATTTAAAATGAGTTTAAATGACTTTTTATGATTGTTTTAGATACATTTTTTTCTATTTCTTCTGAGACTTTGGTCAGTTAACCCTTACGGTACTGGCCTACTTTTTGCTTTTATTGTCTCAGTACCGGCCATTAATTGGCTAATTATTCCCTGTGGCCCAGACATTATTTTGGAATGAGTCAAAATTTGATAGGATTGTTAATTTATAGAGAATTATCTGTTCAGAAATGGATAAGGGTGTTAAAAAAACACTTCTAATCCCAATTAAAGTTCAATAATATTTTCAGAATAAAAGGTTTCATCAAGTGGGCGTAAGTTGCCATCAACAACAGCGATTAAGTAGCGCCATGGAAACAACAAATACAGATCCGTTTAAAAAACTCAGTAATGGTCGATTTTCATAATTTAAAAGGCAAATTAAAATTCGACTATTCCCCTAACGAATAAACATTCTGCCCGAGACTGTGATGAAAGGTTATATCCTCATTTCTGTGTTTATATTAGATACCCCTCTAAGTCATCATGAACCATGGGCGCCCGCAGAAAACGTTCTGGGGGAGGGGGGGGGATTTTTAGTAATGTTTTAATGTAGTTTTAATTTACGGTAGCGTATTTGTATGGTGAACGAACGGACAGGACATCAGCTTAGTTACTTTCTCTTTATTTTCTCTTTACTTAAATACATTTTTTGTATATTTTTGTCAAAAAAAAAATTATCCAATCAATCCAGGGGGGGGGCAAGTGCCCCCCTTGCCCCCCTGCGGGCGCCAATGATATATAAATATATATATATATATATATATATATATATGCATAATAAAATTGTTTGTTTTTTTCCAAACAATAAAAAGTATAATTTATAAATACACCGATTAAATCTCATTTTTAAAAATGTTAATTATTTAAAAAAAATAGTTTTAATCAATTTCAATCATGATTCAATGCCTCATCGTCAGTTTTTGTGGAAAGACGTAAATGTAACTAAAGTCTTGTCCAAGACTTTTATGCGTATTATCAGATGGTGTTAAAATATATTTACTGTCTATATTTCATGAGCGAAAAACTAAATACTATCAAGTTTTTAGAAATTGGTAAACAATATCGCACTCTCTTTTCGCCCCACAAGGCCTAGACTTTCTTAAATTCGTTTCATAGTTGGGTTCTTATAATATATCATTAAAATGTATTATTGACAATATCACATTTCTTAGACGGTTCGGGCTGAGAGTAGATACGTGAGCCACTGCATGAATTAAATGAATATGTAATTCATTTAAATTTTACTGTAAGGCTTAAACTTAAACAGGATTAGAGTCTGTTATTATCGTTGTAGGGCCTATATGCCCCTCCCCGTCTCTCACATGGCCGCCTGATGGAGACACATCTCTGCATCATAACACTGTTGCACGGCATGTCAACTATTTCTGACAGAACATTTCTGGACTACGTCATATATCATAGTGCTTTAAGAAAACTAAACGATATCCTATCAAGCTTTGACATCATTTAAAGACATCTTTACAATGGGTGAAAGTGAGTCTACATGAAGAATACCGGTACCATTTTTATTACTGGTATCATGGGCACCCGCAGAAAACTTTCTAGGTTGGGGGGGGGGGGGGGGGGGGGGAAAAAAAATGGGTTAAATTTTCCGGGGGGGGGCAAAGTTTTTTNGGGAGGGGGGCAAAAAAAATTCGATTAACTTTCCGGGGGGGGGGCAAATTTTTTTAGTAATGTTTTAATATAGTTTTAATTTACTGTAGCGTATTTGTATGGTGAACGAACGGACAGGACATCAGCTTAGTTACCTTCTCTTTATTTTCTCTTTACTTTAATAAATTTTGTGTCTATTTTTGTCTAAATTTTGTTTATCCAATCAATCCGAAGTGCCCCCCCCCCTTGCCCCTACCTGCGGGCACCTATGACTGGTATAACATTTCATATGAAATAATAATAATAATAAAGTGTATTTCAAAAACACGCTTCATCCCCAAAGGCTCGAAGCGCGGTACAAAAGTGAAAAAAACAACAAAAAAAACCCCAAAAAACCAACAACAACAACAAACAAACAAATCTATAATTGACCACATTTAAAACAAACGCAACACTACAAAAACTAATTACAAGCATACCAAATCTAAGTCTTTCTACCCATTTCAACCATAAGCAACACAGCCTATTATGCATTAAATGGAAAATATGGTAGACAATCATCCCAGAAGGTGTTTGCGAAATAAATGTGTCTTTAAATCGGTTTTAAAGGACTCCAGTGTCTGAAAATTAGCTATGTCTAGAAGTAGGAGGTTTGACTGGGTATATTAGTAACACTCAATAGGTCGAATAGACCCTATGTTGGCCCCTAACAGAGCAGATGTAGGCACAATTAATTGTCCTATATCCAATATATAGGCTATAGTTAGGCCTATTAAATTTTTTAAATTTAACTTGTGCATACCGGTAGCTTCGGTTTTGAGATGTGTTTGTGCTATACTCATTAAAGATCGATCTATCATACACTACTTAAAACTACGCCCCCACCCTGGCTTGGAATGTGATCCTAATTATTTCTAGAAATGTGTGTAGTTATGGGAACATTTCTGTCTAACAATAACGCTCTGCATTATTTGAAGATTTCGGTCTGCCGAAAACGCTCGTTATTCGCGAATCTCGGTCTGCCGATGACGCTAAACATTATTCACAGAGCTGTGTGGATAACGCTTCCCTTGCATTAATGTGTGGACTGTGAATAGTAGCGGAAGCCTTTTCCCCGTCTACCTGTTGTTAATTGTTAATATTAATATTATATTTACAGGCCTATAATTATAATGACCGACTCTTTATATCTAAAAATAGTAGTTAATGAAAAATAATAGTTATAATGATGAATAATGACAACAATGACTCTGTGTATTTAATTTATTATTATTAATTAATTATTTAGTGTATTATTATTATTATTATTATTATACTATTATAGTGTAGGCCTATGGCATTATTATTATTAGATTTTAGTTTTAGTTACAGGCTAAACTTCTATAATTAGTACTTAGTTCTAGTGTATAGTTATAGTTACTAATATTAATACTAATAGTACACTTACTTATACAATTCTACAAAAACGATATTAATATTGTTTAAGGGGGGAGGTACACCGTGAAAAATGAAAAAAAACAAACTTTTTTTGGATTTAACAGTAACCATTGATATCAAATTAAAGTGTATTCAATTCTGCACAATTATATGTAATTATTTTTAATTTAAGTTAAATAGTTCTTGAGATATGAATTTTTTGTTAGAAGGGGGGTGTATCAGAATTTTACCCCCCCCCCCCAAAAAAATAATTCTTATTCTTTTTCTATTTCAATTGTATTAAAACAAGGATGACCTCCCCAATAATTGTTAAATACAATGATTAGTCCTTTAAATATGGCGGCTTCCATGGAAATAAACAAAACATTTTTGTGAATATTAAAATTGTCTCAAAATTTTTTTATAATTTGTTTATACAATGCCTAGTCATAAAAAATATTCAAAGAAACGAGCGTTTTATGAAAATAGATATACTAAGCCTAATATTGACCCCAATGAGGATATTTTAAATGAAATAAATTAATCAAAACAATTTGATTCCATTGATTCATTGATTCAATTGATAGACTATAGACATATATGGAGTAAAAGTAAATGGTTCCCATTTAGATTAAAATGAAAATTAAGACATCTGTAAATCATTTTATTAAATTTTAATGTTTATAATTACAGGGAACCAGCAGAAATTAATTTAACTAGGCCAATTTTTTAGACTTTTACCATCCAATTATTTTTTAGTAAATTTTTATATATTTATACCCAAAATGCGAACGAATCAATGAATAATATTATATTGAAAATGTGCCCTAAGAACAAATAATTTTGGTTTAAGAGTGTCCACTTGGTGTTGACTTAGCAACCCGTCTTTTCAATGATGGATCCAAAGTATTGGAGGCTCCTCTAAGATTTTGCAGCTTTCCTTTTGAGAGTTTACTTTCAATTATTGCATTATTATGGGTGCTAAGCGGATATCGAAGACACAAAAATCAAATGAATAAGTCTTTAGAAGATAGAAGAACCAGAAGAAAGCTCAAATTTGGGTTAGAAGAGTCAAAAGTTGAAGCTAAATTACATCCTTATCTTTCAGGGGGGTCATTAAAATTATAAAATTTATTTACTTAATGAACAAAATTATTGCGCGTTCATTCACAAAATTTCGACATTTAATTCACATAAAAAATGATAACTTTTTTAAATATCAACCAATTTGTTAAAAATTTTGCATGATGCTGTATTATATACTTGTCTATGTCAGCAACTAAGGATATTGTAATATATTAATAAGTACACATTTTACAATCCATCAAAGTTTTATTTTAAAATGTCAAAATTAAGATACTTTGGGATGCTGTGATACAAAAAGTATTCAATAAATTAAATTTTCCTAGTTGTCGCCAAAGCCAATCCATATTTCTATATGGTTAAAAAATTGTAATAAATTTGAGCTTAAAACATTCTAACTAATTTTTTTGTCTGACATGCCAGTTTCCAGCATCCCATTTTTCTTTTTTTTTTTCAATGTTAGCAAACTATTATGTTCAACTACTAATGGTTATTTTATGTGTTATAATGGTAGAATGACCATTCCTCTAGCTTCAGTGAAAATTTGACACTTGTAACTTAAATAGTTGTTTTTTTGTGAATTTTTTTAGTAGTCAACCTATGTTCAGGGTGTACCTCCCCCCTTAATATCCCCGATACATGACCATGACCTCACTGTTCACTCAGTGTTATAAACTTTTAATTGGTCAGGTCACTCCTGACTGTCTACACACATTTCAAAGGCCAATGGCAAGCAAAGACTGAGAGGCTAACTAACATAGTCTATGGTTAATAACAAAAAAAAAAGACTTTCACTTTTAACTTAAACATTAAATAAAAAGATTAAGAATAATAATTTTTTTACTTCAATTTACATCAATTTAAAATTTTATGTAGAATTGTAGAGGATTAGACCACATGGAATATTGATGCAAATAAAATATGGAGGAGTTAGTAGTAGAGAAACATCAGAAACCCATCAAGTGGACTGTAAATGATTTTAATCTCCTTCAACTGATCTTTGTTGATGTAAATGGTATTCCTAGAGGGAAGACAGTGCCAAAGAATGTAGCTCTGCACCTTGCTAACAATGGAATTGAAATGTTGCACTGTAAGTTGATCTTGTCTATAAAATATTGTTCAATAACTGCTGTGGGCAACTGATATTTTATTAGTATTAGTCTAGTGATTTTAAAAATTAAGCATCAATTGAGTAATATAAAATCAAATTGAATGTCAAGATAGTAACAAATTTCATATTATATTGTTGTTAAAAAAATGTGCTAGTTAGGGATATGTTGTTCCAAAAAATTATTGCCTTGAATTGAAACCACTATGTGCTACACCAGCCTTAACTATTATAGTAAAAATATGAAACCATATAACAGACATTCAGACAATTTAAATTTAAGATTACTGAAAGATTGCATTCTTTTTTTGGGCCAAGATAAAATTTAAGATACTGGATGATAGGATTAGAATAAGATTGAGATGAGAATTACATTTTTTTATATACACTATACTAGACTATAGGATTCTTTTACAGGCATGTCTCTATATGGAGACACTGGAGTCCTTTAAAACAGATCTAAAGACACATCTATTTCGCAAATACCTTCTGGGATGATTGTCTACCTTATTTTCCATGTGTTGCTGTGTTGCTCCGGGTTGAAATGGCTAGAAAGACTTTGATATTGTATGCTTGTAATTAGTTTTTGTAGTGTTGTGTTTGTTTTAAATGTGGTGAATTATAGATATGTTTTTTGTTGACTTTGTACCGCACTTCGAGCCTTTGGGGATGAAGCGTGTTTTTTTAAATGAACTTTATTATTATTATTATTATATTTAGATAATACATACTAGTGATTGTGAGTTATTTAGTATATTTTGTTATATAGAAACAGTTGGGGACATCCAGAGAAAGTCTCCATATCTAAATTACAGCACCATAATTATCCTTAAAAATTTTCAAACAAATTTTATGGCATTTAATTTCACCATCTGATAATAAACAGCTGATTAGTACTTTATGTAAATGTATGTTAATTTTTTTTTCATGTTTTGTTATACTTTTGCATTGTATGTTTCTTCACAACTGGTTCTTTTTGTTGTCTTAAGCTCTTTTAAATATTTTTCACAGACAGGAATCTCTTGTGAAACTTTATGCATGCTCACTTTGTGTTTCAGTAAACCAAACTCTTGGCCTTGCCATGGATGTGCCATGGAAGGTCGAGGAGCTTATTGATGAGTTTCCGAATGGTATTTATATACCTGATCTTGAGACAGTTGTGAGATGGCCTTGGGCTTGTCAACCTGAACTACAAATTGGACAAGTCATGGGTCATATTGTTTGGGAGGATGGTCATCGTGAGTCCCTTTCAGTGAGGTTTCAGGTATTTAACTTTGACCATATCCAGTTACATACAAATAAAGCTTATGAACTTCTTTCTATGCATAGAAAAAACAACTCTATATAATTTACCATCCTTTCGTCATTCTCTTCTTTCTAAGGCAGAGAAACAAATTGACAAGCTAAAATCCCTGGGCTTAAAAGTAGTATCTTCATTCACCATCCAGTTTACAGTTTTTAAATCTGCACATAAGCACTGTGGAGATTTTATGGGTGAGTATAAGTGCCTATAGGTGAACATTGATTAGGTCAGTGATAACTGAATCTGACTAGCTGAAGAGAGATGACAGTCATGGCACACACAGGATCCTGCTTTTATAACAAGTACTACAACACCAAGTAAAATTTTATATAAAGGAAAATATCTAAAAACTAAAAGATATGACCCGATGTTACCGGGGAAATAATGGAAGATATAATCAGACCTGTTGACTCTTACGATTTTGGTGTACCATGTACGATTTTGAGGTGTATACATTATATATACTGTATGTTTATTTTTTACTATTAAGATAATGTATTGAATGATATTGTATGATTTTAAGAGTTTGTGGGTAAACAGGTCTGTATAATGCACCATTTTCATCTAAAACTAAATTTTTACATATGTAAATGAATTGGTTTTTTGATCTATTGTATCCTCAAGAAAAATTTATGACAATTTTCAGTGCCTTTAAGATGTATAATTAAAGAAGCATCTTTGTAGAGATGTTTACATTTCTAACATGTTTGGCTTATGAGAATGTTTTTTTCTTCTATAGAATATAGGCCTACCCACCCCTTTTTCATGGCCCTGAACTACAAAGAAAAAACAGATTCTCAAAATTGTAAAAAACATGTGCTTAACTTTAAAAAATCTATGTACCATTTTAAATATCTGTAACATTAACAGATTTTGATGTATTGGTATCTTCATTATTAAAACTTTACCCAAATTATGCCTACTCCTGAACTATAGTATAGGAAAATCTTTTAAAACATAATTTTTATATATAAAAAAGAATCTTTTAAATTTGGTAAGTTGTAAAAATTATGTACCTATTTTAAAAATGTTTTAGTTTTCAAGTCTGGAAAACGATTGTGTTTTAGATATTGTTATGCACATAAAAATTTGCCAAATCATTCTCACCCCTGAACTGTATATTTGGAAATATTATGGTGTCCTCATTTTCCCATGTCAAAGTTTATTGAGTTTTAAGGTATGAGTTTACCAACTTTTCAACTTCCTTGAACCCCATGTTCCGACATTATTGTTACATGTGCTAACATGTATTTTAAAAGAAAATCTAAAATCTCTCTTTCACAATTGTAATAATAGATTTAAATATATTGTTATCATAAAAAAATCTAAACATCTTTTTTTTTCCCACAGGAATGTGATTGCGGTAGAAAGTTAAATAAGTTATTTCATTAGTTTTAAAATATCTATGTACCAATTTCCGGTGTGTAACTTATTTAAACTTTGAGTTATGGCTATACTCATCCAATCATTCTGTTGCGTATCTTTTGTTGCCTCAGGCAATATAAAAAAATCATAGCCCCCCCCTCCCCCAGATATTTTATTATTTTTAATAAACAATAAACGCACCTCTCCAAAATTATAACCCCCCCTAGTAACGCCATCACACACTTTTTGCCCACCCCTGAACTATGTTAATATTCTAACAACTCCCTTTTTTATGCAATAAACTTCATATTCAATGTTAAAAGTAATAAATCATCACTTATTTCCATATAGTTAAAAATATTGTTATCTATTTTTAAATTAAAATCCATAATCTTTAACATAATCGGGATTGGAGATAATGATTTTAAAATGTAAACCCCCCCTCTTACCAAATTTCCCCTAGCCCTTGAAATGTTTTGAACTCAGCCTTACATGGTGACATAAGCTTATTCTTATCTAGCAATAAATTAGTATTTGATAATTCATTAGAATCAATCGTACATTTTTGTTTACTTGTTTTTCTACTTGTGTATTTTAATAAAAAAAAAAAATCTCCATCAGCTTATGATATGAAGTAAGAATTAACATTTTGGTTTCAGGGAGTTGATGCCAGCAATACAAATATGCAGTTTGAACATTTCCATGTATGATTTTCCATAGGAGGAGACAATAGGCTTGGGATAGGACCTTATGACAATATCAGTACAGAACTGTGTATGTTGGACCTATGTGAACAATTGAAAGAAGCTGGAGTGGAGGTGGAATCATGGACCAGTCTGCCGGGTAGAGGTTGGTTTGGTTTTGTAATTTTATTTTAAAAATATTTATAAATGATGAAGCTTTATCGATTGTAACTCCTGGAAAATATCATGTGATGCCAGTCGCTCTGTATCACTTGAGTCTGCTTGCCACTCAATGAGGGACAATTGAATTGACACTTAATGTAATCATTGGGTGAGATAGTATCTAAAAAATGATTTTGGGGTAGGAGATGTGGAGTCAGTGAATAAAGCCATCGAGACATTAAAGTCTCACTTGATCAACTGCCTAGTAACCCACATAGTAGACCACTAGTTCAATCCTGGCATGAATTTACTAACTTAGTGGCAAAGTCTACCTCGCCTTAAGCAATTAGCTCAAGCCTCTCCTAACCAATATTTGTTAGTTAAAACAAGTGAAAGTCTAACCTCACTTCCTTGATTTTACTTTCAGGTCAATTTGAAATGACTCTGCTTGCTTCTGAAGGTATCAGGTCTGCTGATGCAGTCTGCAGATTCAGACATGGATTGAAGAGCGCCATGGCCAAGGTTGGTTTTCAAGTCACCTTTATGACACATCCACCTGGAGTAGGAGCTGAAACTTTTAACTCTATGGTGCACCGATTTGCAATTTACAGCACTCTTGGCCAGAACATGTTCCTGGATGACACTGAGGGGGGAAAACTCTCAGGTGGGAGTAATCAAACTTGAGGGACTACATTGTTGGAATGTCATGATTATGTACTTTTAAAGATGCGCTACAAGAATTGTTCAAAAGAAACAAAAAATTGCATTTTGCATCATTTTTGGGGGTTTACCACCAGACATTTAAGTCACTTCCATTGTTACATTAATTTAAATAAAAATAAAATTTAAAGCAAAATAAAATAATGAAGAATAAGATAAACAAGACAATGAAAATAAATTAAACGACAACTTTAAAATGTTTATTATTTATAATTTATAATATTGCAGTTTGAAATATTAATGTGAAAATAAAGCCCTGTTCATTTTTTAAAACCCTTTTAATCTTTTGGATTGATGGTTCTAGCTGCTTAAAAAAAAAATGAGCTTAAATAATATATTTTTTTGAAAAAGGTTATTCACCAATTTCAGGGCTTCTTGATCTATTCTCTTAGGAAATGAAAGTCATTAATAATGGACTTTTTACAACATGCAAAAAAATAATAAAAAAAAAATAATCAAGTTTTTTCATCAATTAAAAAAAGACAACTATTTTAATAAATTTGGGATAAAATTACTGAAAATAAAGAGTTCTTATAACCAAGAGTACTTAAACATGTCTGCAAGAATTCATTAAGTTTAGTTTGGAATTTAGGTGCTTTTTAAAAGTTCAGCATTAAAAGTAACTAAGTCAGGGCTGTCTTATCTATTCAAGTCACCTTTTTCGGTAGCGGGTACATTTTAAAAAAAATGATAAATCACTGAAACTGCAAAAATAAAATATATTTTCGTCTAAGCAAACAATATTGATTTGATGTTTTAAACTCCTCAGATGTCGTAAAAAACTGGACAGCTGGAATGCTCAGTCATGCAGCAGCTATGACAGCTCTCTGTTGTCCCACTGTCAACTGCTACTCTCATGATAAAACACCCAGACATCTTGATTGGGATGTAGATAATTTTTCATCATATTTAAATATCCATGTCCATGAAAATGAGGCATGGATAGAAAACAGAATGCCTACCTCAGCTTGTAATCCGTATTTTGTGATTTTAGCTACTGTAGCATCAGGGATTGATGGTTTAGAAAAGAAGATGAATTGCCCAGAAAAATGCAGTACTTCATTTGATATAGTACCAGAAGATCTTGGCACAGCCTTGCAGATTTTAAAAGTTGATAATGTTTTGACAGATGCCCTGTCACCAGTGCTTATGAAAGTGTTCCTTAACATTAAAGAGGATTATGAAATTGAAAAATTCAGAACCTTAGAAGATGGTCCAGATAGAACTGATAAGTTGAAACAGTTAGAATATGAATACTATTTATCTAGGTTGTAAGACATTAAAAAATGTTTTTTATTTGATGATGGTTTTATTAAAGTTTTAATGAGAATAAGAGGAAATGTACAAGTTGTTTAATAAACTAGATTGTATCTCATTATTTACTGCTACTGAATTAATTAACAAGTAATATTTTCATTATGCTGTGACAATCTTTTCATTTTTGCTATTTGTTGATTTTAGATTCCAGGATTTTGGTTATGCAAGTTTGTTTGGTTATTTTTGACTGAAGTTTGCCACATCTGCCATGTTAAGTAAGGTTTTAATCAGTGCTCTTTTTGTCACAGAGCATGCTATAAAGGTGTTCCTGTACCTAGATTCTGTGGAATTTAACTTAAGTTATCTTAAATTATTTATTAAATTAAATAAATGAGAGTTTGGTTCCAATTTTTAAAACTAAAGAAAACCGCAAGAGCATTGAATTGTTTAATTAATTCTAAACAAATATCCAGGCCCTGTTGCTGTGGTATTTAAATATAATTGGTTTTTTTAATGTGCTTTTAAACAGATTTTTCACAAAAATTGACTGTTTTAAAAATATTGCTTAATTTATCACCCCCAAAAACCATTTAGATATTTTATATATTGTATGGGTAGTCTTCTTTCTTTTTTTTTTTTAAACTTCGCTGATCTTTTTTTAAAATGTATTTTTCCTAACATTATTTACTGGCAAGTCAGTTTTTTGGAACACGTTGACAAATCTGATTTGATGTGAATACCAATCAACCATTCCAAATTTTTCAGTAGTATTAGGCGTGTATTTTATTACCAGGTATTGCATTTTAAAGGTCTGTGTTTAAAAAAAAAAATCTACCAATTAGCTATTAAAATTTGGTTTTCACCAAGAAAGAGATCAGCTTGTTAGTTTTATTTTGTTTCTGCTGTATAATTTTGATCCTAGTAAAATAGAACAGTGAGTGAATAACAATTTTTCTCTCCTTCAAAGCACAGCACTCTTTGTTACGTGGCCTTTCTGTTGGTGTCTGTGTATAGTAAGGTTTTCCTCTTTCAAGCACACATTTTCCCTCCACTATCAATTCTTAACAAAATATTACCCACAAACTAATCATGAAATTTTTTATCAAAATTTAATACGATGAAAAGCGATCAACATATTCATAAATTATATACAATTGTGATTCTGAAGATGAAGCAAAAATGTATTTCCTGCTGTAGTCATTATTGAGAAGAATGTGTACCAGTACATGTTATGATCAGACAAAATCAAAAAGAAATGTTTGAAACATTTCATTGAACACAAAATAATTAAATTGAATGATCATGATCATCACAAGTGTAAATCAAAATTAAAGTATCTTTAGTCAACAAGATTTAACTGACACGCACTAAAAGATGCCGTTATGGCAAAGCTAAATCATTAAATCATTTTTCGACCAAACATAAAAAGACCGGATGCCCGATTCCTAAATTATCCACAACTATATCATATCAGATTTTTTTTTAGATGGAGCACAAACTTATCAAAATCAAAGTAAGTAAGAAGTAATTCTCTGAAAAAAAAAAAACAATTCGTAAGAAATGATCTCTTGATAAGCTGAATGAAGAAACAAGGATTTAGTGCAGCATACAATGTTGGATTGATTGAGATGACAATACAAAAGAATGGTCAGAATGGAATTCAAACATGACTGGCTGCAGTGTGATTTGTTACTTGCTTGTGCAATGCTGACTAAAATTTGATTTCCTGACAAGCTTGGGTCAATTTACTCAACCAGAATCCAAGTTTTCCCAAAGGGCAGGAAGTTTTTGATTGTTACTTTAGGAGGCTGTGTTTATTCTCGAGTTTAATTTATTTAGGAATGAACACAAATTAAATTTTAAAAAAAGCACCAGATGATAATTATACATTTTTCCAAGAAAACGTTTGTACACATGAAAACTACTCAAGATAGTTATAAAATAAACTTTGACTAAACCAGTAAGTGTAACTTTTGACAGTTGCCATGATTAAGATTATTTCAACATTAAGACAGCTAAATGAATACAAGCCACTAGAAGAAGAAGCCTATTGTACATCCAATGCAGCTTACAAACATAAAAACATGAGTGATTATAAATCAAAACAAAGTAAGCAAAAAACACATGAGCCATGGATTGCAATGTTACAAGTGGTTTTTCTCTTGTTCATAAATAAACAAAACAAAGATGAAAAAGAGAAATTAGGCCAGATTAAGATTTTGTCACCTGTTTCTGATAGGATTTTCCAAGTCATATTGTTTCGTTTAGAAAATAAGGAACCAGGTAAAACTTTATTTGACTATTCATTATTCACCAATACATTTTCTCATAAGGTACATTTAGCTATGGTTTTATAAATACCACCCAAAAAAAAAAAGAAAAAAAAAAGACAATGAATAAGCAATAAATCAGATATTTAGTTTTATAGAATGTTATTCAAAACAAAACAAAGAGCTAATTTAAATTTACTTACTTCTTATAAAACTGAGAAAATCAATTTGTATGTTAATGAAATTTTAGCTTAAAAGTAATTACATAAACAGGTAGAGACATCTATGAGTGATATCTTTAACTGGTTGTCTAACCTAAATTAGGCGCCTCCATTGGATTTCGAGAAACTAGACATTCACTGCTAAGAGCTAAGACTATGGTTATAATTTTACCCCACAAGTTACAGCCCACAAGTCAACACATGTACAATTATTGAATGTCACAGGTCAGACGATGTCATTTTGTCACAATTTTATTTTTGTACACAATTAGCACCAGTTCTGACTCTTAAAATTGTCTTTATCAAAAATTTCCTCAATAATTTTCAAATTGAATGTCCTTGGTCACTTGTTCAATTTAAATATGGCATTTTGAGATTTAGCAAAATTTTATTTCTTTGCAGAAAAAAAAAACGGCAACTAAGTTTAGAATTATAACAAAACTAAAATGCTATCTTTATGTAAAAAAACATTTTGAACTAAAATAATAAATATATATATTTTTTAAATGCATCAGGTAACAGGGAAAACTTTTTACATATGAGATGTTAACATTCCTTTGATGTTTTAATGGAATTTTTATTAAAATTTTTCCCAAAAATCATGGATTTATCATTTTTTAACAAAATCTCTGATACTTTTTGTTTAGTTATTTTCTAACTATTTGTTTGGGTATGTCTCAAACAGCACTAGCGTGATATGTCACAAGATAAGCCTGACACATTATTTGGTGAATGATTATTTTGCAATGACATGTGCAGCCAGGATGATTAATCAGTACTCATCCAATTTGCTAAATGGTGCACACATTAGAGACACAATCATCATGACAGTCAAATAAAAATGAAATACACAACACATTATAATCAGTGACTGATACACAAAAATATATGTCAGGAATGATGTTGAATCAGTGTTTGAAATTATGTGCCTCAGACATCAAGTTCATTAATAAGTAACTTTAAGATATGAAACTCTTCAAGAGCAATGAACTATTAAATAATCTATTTAGATCTGCATAGCAAAGAGGCTTCATGAATAATATTAACAGTAGGTAATAAGAATTTAAAAAAAAAAAACACTCTTTTTTATGATCCTGACAGAAACTTAAGATTTTCATCACAACACAAAATATTAATAATTATATTTCTGTTTGATAAAATAAATTAGTTTCTGAGTTAAATTTTTTTTAACATTTAATATTATTTCCATTACTATAAATGACTTGCTAAACCTGAATGGTAAAATTTCCTTATTTATGCCTAAATCATCAACAATAAAAAAATCACATTAATTCCAGCAAAGTGATAACATTATCAACAAGAGAATACTGATATTTTTTAAAGAATCATTCACTAGAACATTAATGTCACTGGGTGATCAAGTAATTTACAGAAAATGCTGATGGATAACAAATGTTCCAGAAGGAAGAGCATCTTCATCTGTTCCGGTGGGGGTGCTGGACCTTGAGTCCTTAGATCTGACAGTAATGGTGGACATGGAAGAAGCTGGCAAACAGTTTAAAGGAGCAGCGGAGGATTGCTTCTCATCGGCTGAGTGGGTGTACACTATTATTTTCCCCGATGACCCATGACTGAGGACAAATGATGGTGCAGAAGTTGCCCCTGTCTTAACGGCTGTTGTTTTCAGCGAGGGCACAGAAGATGTCTTGGCTTGCGAAGTGTCAGTTTTTGATGATGAACTTAATGCCAAAAAAGGAACCATCTGTGATGTGGTTCCAGACACTGTGGTAGGTTTAGCAAGCTGCCCTGACGTGGTGCCTTGGGTGTGTTTATCTCCTTGGGAGTTACAGCTAGCAGCTGGTATGTTTGGCAACCCTGTCTTCTGTGCAGGCGAGGACGATGAACTCATCGAGTCCCCTAGCTTTTTGAGTTTCATCAAAGACTTGGCCAATTGATCTGAAAGAGCAGGTGAACTGTCAATGTCCTTTTGTTTTTGGAGTAAATTAGCCGGTGGTGAAATTATATTGTCTCCAATTTTCTTATACTTCAATAATGACTTAGTCATTTGATGGGAAAGAGCTGAAGGACTTTCCCCAGAGGAATGTCTTTGCTTTTGACAAACATTATCATTGTCAGGAGCATCTTTTGAAGTCTTCTCCACAGCTTTTGTTGGTGCTAGTGTGGTGGTTATAAAATATTTCACAGGCGGTTTTGTAGGAGGAAAGCTTTTATTGTCATTAACTATGTATCCCCCAATGGACCTACGCTGTGCTAAAGGTTGTGGAGTTATAACAAAATCAGGGGGAGCTGCAGCAGGACTTGGAGATCCCGTAAGTGATGAAATGGACTGAACAGATGAAAACGATTGGGTGACAAGTCTCGATCTGCCAGGGTGACCATCAAAAGATGATGCAGATTTGTTGTATTCATCTCCGACAATGTGGACTATTTTAATAGTTCTTGCATTGTCGTTATCACTGCTCCTTTCAGAGGATATTGAAGATGTGGACTCTCGTCTCATTTTCTCAAAAATATTCCTAGATCTGGCTGCGGCATCATCTTGATGGTTAGATTCAGATACATCTTCCCATTCCTGGGCATCAGCTACATCTGTAACCGGATTCTTTCCCTGCATAGTTTCTTCCATTTCTTTGTTAGTAAACTTATCAACTGCAGTTAATGTCTTGGAATCCCTTCCTCTCCCTGCACCAGTTTTTTCCTTTGTGATGACTTTTGATCGACCAAATGGGCTGATGTCAAAAGTTCTGGGGGAGTTCCTGGTGGATATGTTAAAAGGCTGATTCTTTCGTACTCGACCTGAGTAGTCCCTGACCTCAGATTTCAAAGACCCCCCTGATTTGGGTAAAATGGTTGAGCTTGAAGGAGGTGGATGTATTTTCTTTGATTCATTGAATTCACAATCTAAAACTGGATGTTTATTCGAGTTAGTGTCTGAGCCACTGACAGCTTTGTCCGACACTCTTTCTGGGAGCCTTGGTATTTTTTTCACTGTAGGCCTAGCATAAATATTGTCATTGTTTTCTGACTTTTGATTCCCATGAACAGTCCTCTCTTTCTTCAAGCTCTTCCCTTTAACTAAATCAACAATGAGTGAGTTAATAGCCTGACCACGCCTGTGGGTTATGATTTGGTGCTTGCGTAAGATGTGTGTAGAGCATTCAGACTTGTCATAGCTTTTATAGTTACACATCTTACATTTGAAGCGTGACCATTTAAAATGCTGTCTGATGACGTGCCTGCGAAGATTGCTCAGTTGGGTAAAAACTTCTCCACAGGACAGGCATTTTATTTTCTCAGCATCAATTATTTTAGTTAATTTTGAAAAATCATAACATTTCACTGCCCGACTTTTTGAGGCCCTTTCTTTCCAAACATAAATCCTGTTGGTGACAACACGG